TCTATAGAAGGTTAGACTTTAATATGATCTATGAATAAGTCTTCGCTTTATCTAAAGATTAATATTGTTGCTAATGTATATTTGAAAGATATTTCATGTTGTCCATAAACTTATAGTTTTATATCTTTTTTCTTTTTAAAGAACACATGTGCATCATGTTATCATGATCAATGATAACAATGTCATCGACATACTGACCGGTCGATGTATTCCCGCCGCGCGTATGATTTTCTCCGGCATTATTTTAAAGAAGTCGTGTGATAAAATTTCTCTTTATTTAAATGAATATGTCTATAGTATATTATATCTAAATGATATTTAAGCAAAATAAAACCGAAATAGTTTCTTTTGATTTTAAAATCTTTGTTTGTAATTTAATTGGCATCAATTTTGTCAAATATTTATAATATTATCAAAACAATAATTTCACATCCTACTACATCTCAATTTAGAGTTTTATTGTTTCAAGAGGGAAACTAATTATTTAAAAAAAAAATGCAGTTTGAACTAAAACGTGAATCTTCTACCAGATACTATCTGTAGGTACATGAGATACAAAAATTAAATAAAATTTTTGTTTGCTATCTATCGTGTGCAAAATTAAATTTATGTTCGGGATAAAGATATTTTAACAGGTAGCCCAGTGAAAAATCAGCAGGTCAGACTAATCAAAAGCATTTTCCACGTTACAAGGTATTTAAAATTTTGTTTTGAAGGTTATAAATGCTGCAATACACAATACATAATTTTGTTTAATAATTGCATTAATTAAAAACCAAATTGAGACTATCTTACATTGTTGATTTATTTTATTGTATTGTGTCATAGAGAAATTGTGTCCTAATGTAATCAAAATTGTAAACAGTAACGACACCATTCATAAAAACATATAAACTTAAACATTTAACAACCTATGATTATCAAGGCTTCATCCCATTTCTATTTAATCTTGGTATTCACGAGATCACGGACTCCTTTTAACGAGCGCTATCAAAATTTTAAATCAGAGAAGAAAGTGAAAAAAATGTTGCTTATTGTCATCTAGAAACCAAAACCATGAGAATACTTTTCCCAATTCTTTTTTAGTAATATTGCCGTGATCCGTGATTGCGGATGTGTATCTTAAATACATTGCACTGTGGTTTCTCTATTTAAACACGAGTATAACTACCTAAAACTCCTTCAGTCTGTTGACATACATAAGCCTTTGACTCATCGAAATAAATTCATCTACGATTAGACGGGTTACGGCTGAGATTGTTTTGACAAGTTAAGAATTTTGTACAGACTTATAATACGAGTTTCCTATTGAATAAGTCTGAAATTTATCTTAAGATTAATTTTAAAAAATATGTAATACTTTTTTTCAGAAAATTAAGTATTCTTTTGAATAAATCTAAAATTTATCTTGAGACTAACTTTTAAAAAATATGTAATAATTTTTTTAGAAAATATTTATTCTTTTAGTTTTTACAGATCACGACAAAATGTGAAAGACAAAATAATATTTTTGGACATAAAATTAATTAATTTTTACTAATTATATTAATTTATCTTACGTCCCTTAACCGTT